CAATGTTATTTTATTTTAGGTGGAGCTGATAGCAACATGCCTCTAATGTATAATTGATGACCTCAAGTTCCCCAGAAAGTGGAAAAGCATTCTTTACTAGCAGTTTTCATTTGCAAATAGTGGAAATCTTAACTGCTGAATGTAACCATAAATATTACTTCATTAAGGAGATGGATAACAACTATGAACCCTATAGCAACCCTGAATTCTATTGTTGCTTCGTACATGATTCTTAGAGACTGAAAAACTTGCAAGATGCATTGAATATACTTGAAAAACAAAAATGTTTATTTTCATCAAATTCCCAGAAAGAGAGGCTAAAAGTATTTTATATAACTATCAATCTATATTTTCACTTATTTTAATCTCTTATATTTTAGATCAACATTCATGTTCAACATTCTTCTAGAAGCAAGTGCTTACGAAAATACAGGCCATTTTCGAGCTATGGTAGCTACAAGCCTGTATTTATACTCATTTTAATCTCTTTATATTTTAGATCAATATTCATTTTCAATATTTTTCTAGAAGCGTGTGCTTATGAAAATACAGGCCATTTTCGAAAACGTTGTTTTCTATCTATTACCAAAGTTTGATAATTATTTGTGACGACGCTATTGTAGCTACAAACCTGTATTTACACTCTTTTTTAATCTCTCTATAATCAAGATCAACTTTAATTAACTCTTCTGAGAGTTGGAGTATACGAAAATACAGGCTACTTTCGAAGACGCTATTTCCCCAAGTCATTTGTGAAATACCAAAGTTTGTTAATCAATTATGAGGACACAATTGCAACTACAAATTATATTTGCGCTATTTTAATCCGTGTATATTCAAGATCAACTTCCATTTATAACATTCTTCTGGGAGCTCATGGTTACGAAAATACAGGCTATTTTCTAAGACGCTATTTTGCCAACTCATTTGTGAAATACCAAAGTTTGCTAATCAATTATGAAGACACCAGTACAGCTACAAACTAATATTTACTTTAATTTTAATCTGTGTATATTCATGATCAATATTAATATATAACATTCTTCTGGAAGCTCATATTTACAAAAATACAGCCCATTTTCGTAGAAATTGAAAAAAAAATGATTTGAATTGAATAGAATAGAAAAAGCGTTAATAACTCGAGAACCCCTTAAGATAATTACATCGTCGAACACTCGTATGAAAGTTGAATGTCTCACCTTTCCAACGAGCCTATTAGCATCTTCGTACTTTTTTTTTCAGATTTTTTTTTGTTTTTCGTGAATTACATCATCGACCACTCGTGTGAAAGCCGAATGTCTTACCTTTCCAATGTTCCAATGCTATCTTCGTACTATTGTTGGATCGCCTGCTATGAGCTGTAGAAATTGAAAAAAACAGAGAAATCCCGACAACCATAATCCCGACAATCAAAATCCCGATTATATCGAAATCTCGACTGTATTGAAATCCCTTCAACCGAAATACTATATCGAAATCCCGACTGTATCGAAATCGAATATATAATGTGGCCGTAAACGTTTATACAATGTCAGTGGGATCAAAAGAAAGAAATAATGAAATACGCAAATATTTTTTATTAAATATTTACCCTTAAGACTTGTGTCAGGGATATTAATTATTATTTAATTCTTCAATATTTTGAAGTAAATCCTCTGTAGATGTCATTTCTGATGAAAATGAATAAAGTTATTGTGTTTAATGAATTTTGTATTTTCTTTACTATTTACATATAATTGACATTTCCAGTGAATTTGAGTATTCCAACAAAGATGTATTTAGTAAAATCTTTACAATTAATTTGTAGAAAATATTTTAAATTCTTGGTTTACTTCTCATCGATATTCTCAGTTATTGATAGTCTAGACCAGAGGCGTCCAAACTTTTTGCTGCGAGGGCCAGTTTGGTATTTAAATTCATTAGCGGGGGCCAAGCATTGTAAATATATGAATTAAAAAACCTTATTACAAGTAAAGCAGCATTGAATTTTATTTTTTATAGTAAATTACAGATATAACAATACTAAACAAACATGTCTAAATTATATTATTATAAAATTATTTCATGCAATTTTTAATGGGAATGGTGGAACTGGGTTTTTTCCTGGAGAGTTTCTTCAAAGTTGGGATTCAAATCGGACACACCAATTATTAGCAATGATTGCAAATGATCATCCGATAAATTTGCCCTATATTTTACGAAATTTTTCAAAATACTTGGCGGGCCGGATAAAATTGCCTGCCGGGCCGGGTTTGGCCCGCGGGCCGTAGTTTGGACACCTCTGGTCTAGACAAATGTTTTACAAGAAAAATCAAATATATATTACTTCAATTCGTAATGTTTTCATACTTGCTCCCTCAATTCCTGTATTTAAGTTTAAATTTGTAATTGGAATTGACATTAAACTGTAATCGCGGTGTTTGTATATTGAAAAAAATTAGAAAATATAGTTTATTTATACTTTGCTTGTTTTATACATTGAAAAATAACGGTAGACAAAAAAAACATTTTACATAACAATGTTGTTAATTAATATTTAATTAAATAATGTGTTCACGATGCTAGTTAAATATTTCAAACAAATTTTGCCTTGAAGTTTATATAATTCATTGCGCCAAACTATTTCATTATCATTATTATGTGGTGTCATTGATTATTGGGTGAAAACTTTTATTTTTTTCGATGAGGTCAATGTAGAAGAAGGTTGGGATCCCCTAGTCTAGCAGAAAGGGAATATGCTTATGACTGTTTTATTGCCACTCTAGACATTAGCGCACTCCATAAAAATATTAGGTAAAGATCTTTATAGTATTTATGTAGATAATGTACATGTTCGAATTACTGATAAAGTCTAACAAAATTATATTAAAATATCAACTATATTGTCAAGGTCGCAGTTATCCCATTGAATAATCATAAAAACAAAAAGAAAAAAAATAGTTCACTTTTATATATCAAATAAATATTAATACTTACAATAGACTCTAATTATTTTTTGTTCCTCTTTTTTCCTCCCGTCTGTCGTTTTTTGTACTCTAGACAAATTAAGTATATATTAATAGTTATAAATTCTGTTTGTTCCCAATAACATTATGTACATTGATATCGTTTGCAAAAAAAACATGAAAACAATTTGAAGTACTAATCAATTAAATATTTATCCAAATGTATATTAAATTATTATAATTGTTTATAAATTACCTGTCACGATAATTCTCTGGTAAAGTATATAACCTAAAAAACAAAAATAAACTTATTTTAGTAAATGATGTTTCTAGAACCAGTATTTTTCAATAAATAAAGTTTGTGTAATTATTCATTAGATTTCATTAATCAATGATTTACCTTCTCCGGTATTTTATACCATTTTCTTTTTTTCATTATAAGAAAAACTTCCAATGATGAAGTGCAGACCAGTTTGTATAGGGCATTGTTTACTTCCATTTTCGGGTTCAAAGTACAACAAAACAATGTTATGATCTTATATAATTCGTAAGCAAAAATCTTTCAAGATTAAATGGAATTGCATCAGCTCAAAATAGAAAATTCGGCCGATTATTCTGTCGAATTGAGATTTCAGATTGATCAAAATTATTTGTAAACTCGTATAATATAACTTTATTATTGTAGTTATTCTATCAGACGTAGGTTTTATTGCAAGAGAATGATATTATCTAATAGTGAATTTGTTAATATCCAATAAAAGATTATTTGATAATAACCTTCACGCAAGTCACTTCAAGCAATTCGTTTAATTTTCATTCTGCATTATCTATATATTAAACATATATTGCTCATGTTGTATAAATAATTACAAAACAAAAATATATTATAACATAAAAATAATGTATTTTTTTCTGAAATCGTATATAATAAATTAATATTATTTCTTTTCCGTTAGGCTGCAGGACAAATTGGGCTTCATCGTAGGAACGCCAACCTTTTGAGGCGTCAAATTTCTTAGGGCGGAACTGCTTCTCCACTCATTCATCAGTTTTTCCCGTCCGATAATATTATATTTCTTTTGTATAAAAAGTCATTTATAAGAACAATTCAATGATGGTGCTGCTTTCAACATTCTAAAACTGGTTTCAGCAACCTTTTTGGAGCGATCAACCATTTTTAATATTTTATTTGATATCAAAAATCGGGAGTTGCACGTGAGCAAACAACGTTCGGCGAATCGGCGCATAGAACCAATATATTTTTACAATAAAAAATAGTTGCAATATATTAATGTGTTTATTTGTTTTTTTTTTCATAACTGTATGAATATAATGTGTAGTTATGACTCCATTTGGCATATGTCCATTGTGTATACACATTTGCCACTGGAAATTAGGAAAAAGTACATTCACTTTGAAATTCTCTCTTATGAGATAATGATCTATTTAAAAGTATGATAAAAAATGTGTAATTAATCAAAAAATATTTGTTTAATGACTATTTTGTCTTATTTTTTTTGTATGAAATTCTAAACATATACATGTCCCTCCATTAATTTCACAAAGCAGTGAAGTTAGTTTGTACATTTTCTGTGTTTTGCAATCTTATGCCACACTTGAATCCACAATTAAATTTCTCGCTCACTTAAATTATGATTGTTTCTATAAAAACTAATTTAATTAAAAAAATGTCGGAATTTTTATTTTCAAAGCGAAATATTTTGTTCTTATTTGTTTTTGTGAGCAAATGTGTTAATTTTTGTTTGCCAAAATTAGTACGGCTGGAGCAGTAGTAGTCGTAGTAGTCAATATGGTATTCGATTAAACAGTAAAGAATGATGCTTTTTATTTGGCATATATTTTCAAGATATTGAATGAATTCTATATTTAGCTTCAAAGAACTAATAAAGAGGGTGTTTAATTAAATTTATATCAGACTTGCTAAGTTATAATGTAGCGGTCAGACTTTAGTGCTGTTAATCATATTATCATTAAACAGAGAAACAGTCTGAATATTTATGAAAGAGAAAAACCTGTTTGTTTGTTCCACACAAAAAATAGTCATATATATTTTTTTACTTTCAACGATCTCATTAAAAATAATGGAAGGGAATTTCATTAGACAATTATCAAACTTTTATAGTTTTTATATTTAATTTTCTTTGTCTTTAATTTATGCAGCTTTTGAGATATCAATTGAGATGCAGAAATGCATCAAATTAAAATTTCTGTATATTATAAATATATAGAAAGTATTAGTAAAAAGATAAAACTGCGGACAAGCACAATCTGTATACACAACAAAATTGATGATAATGAAATAGTTTGTTTATTACAAATTATTTTGTTACATTATGAAGTATGATTAATGTAAAATCTACTCTTGTGTGAAAAGACAAAAATTGCAATAAATCTTTTGCAGGTAAAATAAATCCAGAATGCAAAAGAAAAATAAACTAAACTTAAAATTTAATAAATTTTATAAAAATTCACACACAAAATTAATTTAGTTGACAAATTAAAAACGTATTCATATAATATATTTAGGACTCTTTATGACGTAATAAATTTATTTCAATAATATAAAAATGAACTGATAAATTAAGACTATAAATATTCAAATATATAACAATTTTACCAATTAACACTATGAATTGTTAAATTATTCTAGAATAATAATAGGAAAGTTACAATAAAATATTTGATCCTTACCAGAGGTTCAGAACATATCCATATATATATGGGTTTCAGTAACATGGAACTCAGAACGCCTCACTCGGGAGTAGTCCTGACGATTCGACATATATAATTACATAATCACAATATGCAACCACATATTTTAAGAAAATTATAGAAAGAAAGTTTCTATAGAAAGTTTTCTAAACGTATATTCTATATAAATTTATAAAATAAAATATTATTTAAAGTTGTCATCCAGATTTTTATTATACAATTTATTATACAGCCACTGCAATACTCTTTATAATTTTTGATCGCAAATTGTAGCCGAATGATGAAGTGACAACAATTATTGTATTCCTTTTTTAGTAAACTAAATTATCGAAATTAAATTTTGTTTTCAATGTTGTCGAATTTTCCCAATTGCAATTATAAATATGTATTTGTTTGCCATTTATTATAAATATAAGATACTATCGGTTAGTCCTGATCCTATTTCAATATGCTCTTATCTTCACTTGTTTCCACTAGCGACATCCGTTAAGACGGGTAAATCAATCTACAAGATCAAGTGAAAGGATTTCATCTTCAAACGTACTAGTTAGAGATTGAAGTGCACGGGAAGTTTTTGTTTCAAGTAAATCGTTAGTTTTTAACTTTGATTATTACAATATGGTAGATATCAATATACAGTGGAACCTAACTTAACGAGTTTAATCCGTTCCAAAATTTTCAAATTTATACTCGGGTAGAGAAATACTGGTATAGTGAAACATATTCAAAAATACACATAATATGTGTACACAACTTCTCTTGTCATCGTGAGTCGTTATGCGAAACATCGCACGTTAAACGAGTCATTTATCTTAGAATTATTTTTTTTTTCGTTAAGCGAAATGATCGTTATGCGAGGTTCCACTGTATATATATTTTCGTGCTTTTTGGTACAAAACATTAGAAATACAATTCATATTCCCTTTCTCAAATTTCAGCTATTAAGACATGAATTTGTGAAAATACGATATAAAGAATATTGATCGATCTTAAATTCCAATATGACAGAAAAATCGATATTTCAATTTACAATTTCATGGTCAGCATTTTAATTTATTAATACTAACTTACACAACTTATCCATTAGCAATTCGTAATATGCAAAACACTCACTTGTCTAACGTGACAAGTGTATTTACTTATTGAAATACTCCCACCGAAATAAACACTTGCCAGATACGCATTTGTACACTAAGCGGTACTTGATTACTTGTGCATTTTGTAGAAAAAAAAGTAAATTAAATGAAAATAGAGATATTTCAAGTTTTCTTAAATTAAATTACCATCGGTTAAGGTCCATGCAAACAGATGAGTCCTTGCATGGGGGTAACGGAGGCGGGATTCTTAAAAAATTGGCAGATATGGGGTTGAAACACTCGTGACGACATGGCTGGGCGGGGTTTGCCCCGATTACGGCAGGTAGCATTTGTGGACCCACAAATTGCCATTTGTGGACCCGCATCCTGCCTCCAAAGCATTAAAAAAATATGTAGAAAAAGAATACATACAAATACGTAGTTTATGTAGTAATAATCTTATAATTAATGTTTAATATTCTATACATATATTTTTTTATGTATACTACAAATAAATATTTAATACTATATAAAATTAATAGTATGTGTTAATTGACTTTAAAAGTTCTTTATAATAAAAATAATTAATTATATTTATTATAATATTTATTTCATATTTTTTAAAACAATTGTTTGCAATTTCTATTTTAAACAAATAATGTAATTTTGCTTATTGGAAATGAGAAGAACTATTTTCAAAATCTAAATTAATATAAATTGTTTTATGATCGGAGAAGTAGTAATTGATTTACAGTTTCTTGTATAAATAGTGATCAATCGTGGTGTTGAATATATCGCTAAATGTCGTATTTTCATAACAGTTAATTGTGTTTTCAACTTGTCTTCATTTAACATAGAAATATAAAAATGATTTAAATATATCAAAATTGTTGAATATGTCATTAATTATTTTGTCGCAGATTTCTTTAGCATTTTGTATCAATAATTCGAACATGTACATTATCTGCATAAAAACTAATAGCCTCTTTACCTAATATTTTTATGGTATAGTTATGGTTATAAACACATTCCCTTTGCCATACACAGTTTTCACCTTACTCCAAAATTTTGTTTATTACATAATTTAAGGGTCAGTTATAGAATAATATTGTTATCTTCTCTGTTTATTTGTATCATGTATAATGTTTTTGCTGTATTTGTTTGACTTGTTTTTATATATAACAACTGTGTAATATCTTCGTCTTGACTGGCTGTATACAAGGCAAGGTGTGAGCTAAATTCCTTATTATAAAAAAAACTGGATTTTAACCGAGCAAGAATTATATTTCCGATATTTCATACAATTATAAACTATTACACTGCAATAAAAAGAAAATAGAAGAGTAAATACATTTATCCAAGAGAAATGTAGGATAATCATCAATCATAGTAGCTTCTCGTCAAAGTAATGATATGGGGAACACAATATAGAACAATACAATAAAGAAGTATCCGATTAGACAGTAAACTCCAATATTTTAATTAAAGAACATGTTACGTTTCAGTGCCAATTATATAAATTATTTTGTACTTTGATCTTAGTGTTTATTTTAATTTAATTGAATTTGATTAACAATAATAATATTTAGTATATATTTTTAACTTTAGTTTTTGGGTTTTAGAAAATACACACTAAATCAGTATTTATTTTCTTATTATTTTACGCAACAATAGCTTCAAATGAATGCTTCAAACCAGTTTGAATAAAATACAGGGCTGGCTCAAAAAATGGAGAATCCGAACAAATGAAGCTAAATCGGTGCATCTTTCATTCACAATGCGTCGAC